ATGAGAACACAGCGTGCATGTGGGAGCACATGAGTGCATATGAGCGGACATGAGGGTACATGAGAGAACACGACGATCGCACCTGAAATCACATAAGGTCACATGCGTGCGATTCAGTATCATGAGATTTTCAGAATGAGAATCCTCGCATGGTTTTGTTGAGCAGCTGAACAAAAGTTAGCTGCTGTGACAAGGAAGGCCTGGCAGCAGGAGAGAACAGGAGGGGAGTGTGGGGAAGGGAGTGAAAGGAGAGATGTTGGACCTGGGAAGTAAAGTTGATAATGCTGTACAGCCGATTTGACTGTTTAATCATATGAGCCCAATTGGAGAGGCAATGAAATGCCAGACAGAAATCAGATGTACGAGCTGGAAGCAGGATTTCTCGTGTATCTCAATGCGTCATCCCACCTGACAGCTGATCAAGCTTCCCAACTCCATGAGGTGAGTCCGTGCAGCCACGGCATGCTGGCGGATCCATGCTGTGAGTTGTGGGAAGGAGATGCCCATGAACCAGAGGAGCAGCACCAATGCATAAACCATGTGGTACATCATACCCACCTGGCAGGGCAAGGACGAGGGCAAAGAGAAGGGAACAACAAAGGTTCAGTACGTGAATATTCTTCAGCCAACAAACACCTTCACTTTCCTCATGCGCATTTTTCCTTCGTCGCTAACAACTTCTGCTTGAAAGCCATATATAGGAATCAGCAAGGCAAGGGTGTGACCACATAAATACTGATGCATGTACCAGGGATCGGAAGAGGGCAAGGACCATGCTTCAAGATGAAGCTTGATGGATGGTGGAGACGGTTGCAACTTGCTGAGAGGAAGGCAGGGAGGTGTTACTCTGAAGGAAAGCGCCATTGAACTGTTGGGGCAACTTTGGAGTTGGGCGATAGAGAACATTCAATGTAGAGTAGTTCATTATACATATGACAATGGTGGGTGGTGATGGATGCAAGAAGAAGTGATGGTTACAACAACAAGCAAGGGCAAGTGCACGAACGTGATGAGAAGACAAGCCATGTTGTAGAGACATAAGATGGCCACACGGCTATGATCAAACAGAAGAATCAAATACAGCTTGTACACAGAAACGGATCAATCAGAACATCAAGCAACATAACACCCGATGTCGGTTCCACTCGAGAACAAGCAGAACAACAGAAACACAACACCAGCTAAACGAAACCCAAGTCCTCATATGATTTTCATGGACAGAAGGTTTTGACAGAGACTGGAACAAGATAATGTACAGAGACGGAAACACATCCTTTCATGCAAGTTCATCATTTCTCCTACATCATGCATCAAAACGATTCGGTTCATGCCACTTTCAGGCTGTGAGGGCCAAGTCGAAGCTGCCACATGGAACGCACAGGTGCATGTGTGAGGCCATTGGGAAGGCATGGAGATTAGCAAGCAAACAACTACACACAATCTCTACCATGGCCATGCAAACGCTACCCCTGAAGTCAACTCACTTCATGTGGATTGTTGACCGAGCAATCTATTGTAGGAGGCATGAGGGCGAGTGCTAGCAGCAGCCCTGTCCCAACCACAGCCAACCCAACCATTCGCTCCATTAACACTACTAGCTGTGCGTCGGGTGGTGGCTTCGGATGAAAACGAGGGAAGGGAACAGAGTGAGTGTGGTAAAAAGGCAAGAGAGGCGGGAGCAACGGTGATACAGGGAAGAGACAGGGAAAAAGGAGGGGGGGGGGGGGGGGGGGGGAGGGGAGGGGGGGTAGCACAAGGCTGCTTGGTTGTTCAAGGAGCAGGGAGCGTGGGGTGATTGAGAGCACTTCGTTCGTCCACATCCAGATTTCTGCATGCAACCATGTCGAACCGACCTTGCGTTGCTCCGCGGGTGGTGGCGTCATGCGGCCTCGAGGGAGTGGACGTGGACGTGGACGTGGTCGTGGACGTGGACGTGGACGTGGTCGTGGATGTGGACGTGGTGGACGTGGTCGTGGACGTGGACGTGGACGTGGTGGACGTGGACGTGGTGGACGTGGACGTGAACGTGGACGTGGTGGACGTGGACAAACGTCGTGGACGTCGACGTGGACGTGGTGGACGTGGACGTGGACGTGGACGTGGACGTGAACGTGGTGGACGTTGACGTGGACGTGGACGTGGACGTGGACGTGGTCGTGGACGTGGTCGTGGACGTGGACGTGGACGTGGACGTGGACGTGGACGTGGTCGTGGACGTGGACGTGGTCGTGGACGTGGTCGTGGACGTGGACGTGGTCGTGGACGTGGACGTGGACGTGGACCTGGACATGGACGTGGACCTGGACGTGGACGTGGGCGTGGACGTGGACGTGGACGTGGGCGTCGACGTGGACGTGGACGTGGGCGTGGGCGTGGACGTGGACGTGGTCGTGGACGTGGACGTGGTCGTGGTCGTGGACGTGGGCGTGGACGGTGGGCGTGGGCGTGGACGTGGGCGTGGGCGTGGGCGTGGGCGTGGACGTGGGCGTGGACGTGGACGTGGTCGTGGACGTGGACGTGGTCGTGGACGTGGACGTGGACGCGGTCCGGTCGTGGACGCGGTCGTGGACGCGGACATGGTCGTGGACGTGGACGTGGACGTGGACGTGGTGGACGCGGTCGTGGACGTGGACGGGAACGTGGTCGTGGACGTGGACGTGGACGTGGTGGACGCGGACGTGGACGTGGTGGACGCGGTCCTGGGCGTGGACGCGGACGTGGTCGTGGACGTGGACGTGGACGTGGTGGACGCGGTCGTGGACGTGGACGCGGACGTGGTCGTGGACGTGGACGTGGTGGACGCGGTCGTGGACGTGGATGCGGACGTGGTCGTGGACGTGGACGTGGACGTGGACGTGGTGGACGTGGACATGGATGTGGACGTGGTGGACGTGGACGTGGACGTGGTCATGGACGTCGACGTCGACGTCAACGTGGACGTGGACGTGGACGTGGTCGTGGAGGACTTGGACGTGGTCGTGGACGTGGATGTGGACGTGGTCGTGGACGTGGACGTTGTCGTGGACGTGGACGTGGACGTGGAGATGGACGACTTGGACGTGGTCGTGGACGCGGACGTGGACGTGGACGTGGTCGTGGTTGTGGACGTGGACGCGGACGTGGTCGTGGACGTGGACGTGGACATGGAAGTGGACGTGGACGTAGACGAGGACGTGGACGTGGAAGTGGACGTGGACGTAGACGAGGACGTGGACGTGGAAGTGGACGTGGACGATGACGAGGACATGGACGTGGACGTGGACATGGACGATGACGTGGAGGTGGACGTGGTCGTGGACGTGGTGGACGTGGACGTGGACGTGGACGTGAACGTCGACGTGAACGTGGTGGTGGACGTGGAGGACGTGGACGTGTACGTGGACGTGGACGTGGACGTGGACGTGGTCGTGGACGTGGAGGACGTGGACGTGGACGTGGACGTGGACGTGGAGGTGGTCGTGGATGTGGTTGAGGACGTGGACGTGGATGTGGTCGTGGACGTGGACGTGGACGTGGACGTGGCCGTGGTCGTGGATGTGGTCGTTTACGTGGAGGACTTGGACGTGGTCGTGGACGTGGACGTGGTCGTGGACGTGGACGTGGGCGTGGACGTGGACGAGGACGTGGTCGTGGACGTGGACGTGGACGTGGTCATGGACGGGGACGTGGACGTGGAGGTGGACGTGGTCGTGGACGTGGTGGACGCGGACGTGGACGTGGACGTGGACGTGGTCGTGGACGGGGACGTGGACGTGGAGGTGGACGTGGTCGTGGACGTGGTGGACGCGGACGTGGACGTGGACATGGACGATGACGTGGAGGTGGACGTGGTCGTGGACGTGGTGGACGTGGACGTGGACGTGGACGTGAACGTCGACGTGAACGTGGTGGTGGACGTGGAGGACGTGGACGTGTACGTGGACATGGTCGTGGACGTGGAGGACGTGGACGTGGACGTGGACGTGGACGTGGACGTGGTCGTGGACGTGGTCGTGGACGTGGACGTGGACGTGGACGTGGACGTGGTCGTGGTCGTGGACGTGGTCGTGGACGTGGACGTGGACGTGGACGTGGTCGTGGACGTGGTCGTGGACGTGGTCGTGGACGTGGACGTGGACGTGGAGGACGTGGACGTGGAGGACGTGGACGTGGTCGTGGACGTGCACGTGGTCGTGGACGTGCACGTGGACGTGGACGTGGACGTGGACGTGGTCGTGGACGTGGACGTGGACGTGGACGTGGTCGTGGACGTGGACGTGGACGTGGACGTGGACGTGGTCGTGGACGTGGACGTGGACTTGGACGTAGACGTGGTCGTGGACGTGGACGTGGACGTGGACGTGGACGTGGTCGTGGACGTGGACGTGGACTTGGACATAGACATGGACGTGGACGTGGACGTGCATGTGCACCTGGACGTGGAGCTGGTCGTGGACGTGGACGTGGACGTGGACGTGGACTTGGACGTGGACGTGGACGTGGACGTGGACGTGGTCCTGGACGTGGACGTGGACGTGGACGTGGACGTGGTCGTGGACGTGGACGTGGACGTCGACGTGGACGTGTACGTGGACGTGGTCGTGGACGTGGACGTGGTCGTGGACGTGGAGGACTTGGACGTGTTGGTGGACGTGGACGTGGTCGTGGACGTGGTCGTGGACGTGGACGTGGACGTGGACGTGGACGTGGTCGTGGACGTGGACGTGGACGTGGTCGTGGACGTGCACTTGGACGTGGACGTGGACGTGGACGTGGACGTGGACGTGGACGTGGACGTGGACGTGGACGTGGTCGTGGACGTGGACGTGGACGTGGTCGTGGACGTGGACGTGGACGTGGTCGTGGACGTGGTCGTGGACGTGGACATGGTCGTGGAGGACGTGGACGTGGACGTGGACGTGGTCGTGGACATGGACGTGGACATGGACCTGGAATAGGACGTGGAGGACGTGGACGTGGACGTGGACGTGGTCGTGGACGTGGACGTGGACCTGGAATAGGACGTGGACGTGGTCGTGGACGTGGACGTGGACGTGGACGTTGTCGTGGACGTTGTCGTGGACGTGGACGTGGACGTGGACGTGGTCGTGGTCGTGGACGTGGACGTGGACGTGGTCGTGGTCGTGGACGTGGACGTGGACGTGGACGTGGTGGTGGACGTGGACGTGGACGTGGACGTGGACGTGGACGTGGACGTGGACGTGGACGTGGACGTGGTGGTGGACGTGCTGGACGTGGACGTGGTCGTGGACGTGGACGTGGACGTGGTGGACGTGGATGTGAACGTGGACGTGGACGTGGACGTGGACGTGGTCGTGGACGTGGACGTGAGCCTGGACGTGGACGTGGACGTGGTGGACGTGGACGTGGTCGTGGACGTGGACGTGGTCGTGGACGTGGTCGTGGACGTGGACGTGGTCGTGGACGTGGACGTGGACGTGGACCTGGACGTGGACGTGGACCTGGACGTGGACGTGGGCGTGGACGTGGACGTGGACGTGGGCGTCGACGTGGACGTGGACGTGGGCGTGGGCGTGGGCGTGGGCGTGGACGTGGTCGTGGACGTGGACGTGGACGTGGTCGTGGTCGTGGACGTGGACGTGGGCGTGGACGGTGGGCGTGGGCGTGGACGTGGGCGTGGGCGTGGGCGTGGGCGTGGACGTGGGCGTGGACGTGGACGTGGGCGTGGACGTGGACGTGGTCGTGGACGTGGACGTGGTCGTGGACGTGGACGTGGACGCGGTCCGGTCGTGGACGCGGTCGTGGACGCGGACATGGTCGTGGACGTGGACGTGGACGTGGACGTGGTGGACGCGGTCGTGGACGTGGACGGGAACGTGGTCGTGGACGTGGACGTGGACGTGGTGGACGCGGACGTGGACGTGGTGGACGCGGTCGTGGGCGTGGACGCGGACGTGGTCGTGGACGTGGACGTGGACGTGGTGGACGCGGTCGTGGACGTGGACGCGGACGTGGTCGTGGACGTGGACGTGGTGGACGCGGTCGTGGACGTGGATGCGGACGTGGTCGTGGACGTGGACGTGGACGTGGACGTGGTGGACGTGGACGTGGATGTGGACGTGGTGGACGTGGACGTGGACGTGGTCATGGACGGCGACGTCGACGTCAACGTGGACGTGGACGTGGACGTGGTCGTGGAGGACTTGGACGTGGTCGTGGACGTGGATGTGGACGTGGTCGTGGACGTGGACGTTGTCGTGGACGTGGACGTGGACGTGGAGATGGACGACTTGGACGTGGTCGTGGACGCGGACGTGGACGTGGACGTGGTCGTGGTTGTGGACGTGGACGCGGACGTGGTCGTGGACGTGGACGTGGACATGGAAGTGGACGTGGACGTAGACGAGGACGTGGACGTGGAAGTGGACGTGGACGTAGACGAGGACGTGGACGTGGAAGTGGACGTGGACGATGACGAGGACATGGACGTGGACGTGGACATGGACGATGACGTGGAGGTGGACGTGGTCGTGGACGTGGTGGACGTGGACGTGGACGTGAACGTCGACGTGAACGTGGTGGTGGACGTGGAGGACGTGGACGTGTACGTGGACGTGGACGTGGACGTGGACGTGGTCGTGGACGTGGAGGACGTGGACGTGGACGTGGACGTGGACGTGGAGGTGGTCGTGGACGTGGTTGAGGACGTGGACGTGGATGTGGTCGTGGACGTGGACGTGGACGTGGACGTGGTCGTGGACGTGGACGTGGACTTGGACGTGGACGTGGACTTGGACGTAGACGTGGTTGTGGAAGTGGACGTGGACGTGGACGTGGACGTGGTCGTGGACGTGGACGTGGACTTGGACGTAGACGTGGTCGTGGACGTGGACGTGGACGTGGACGTGGACGTGGTCGTGGACGTGGACGTGGACTTGGACGTAGACATGGACGTGGACGTGCACGTGCACCTGGACGTGGAGCTGGTCGTGGACGTGGACGTGGACGTGGACTTGGACATGGACGTGGACGTGGACGTGGTCCTGGACGTGGACGTGGACGTGGACGTGGACGTGGTCGTGGACGTGGACGTGGACGTCGACGTGGACGTGTACGTGGACGTGGTCGTGGACGTGGACGTGGTCGTGGACGTGGAGGACTTGGACGTGTTGGTGGACGTGGACGTGGTCGTGGACGTGGTCGTGGACGTGGACGTGGACGTGGACGTGGACGTGGACGTGGTCGTGGACGTGGACGTGGACGTGGTCGTGGACGTGCACTTGGACGTGGACGTGGACGTGGACGTGGACGTGGACGTGGACGTGGACATGGTCGTGGACGTGGACGTGGTCGTGGACGTGGACGTGGTCGTGGACGTGGACATGGTCGTGGAGGACGTGGACGTGGACGTGGACGTGGTCGTGGACATGGACGTGGACATGGACCTGGAATAGGACGTGGAGGACGTGGACGTGGACGTGGACGTGGTCGTGGACGTGGACGTGGACGTGGACCTGGAATAGGACGTGGACGTGGTCGTGGACGTAGACGTGGACGTGGACGTTGTCGTGGACGTTGTCGTGGACGTGGACGTGGACGTGGACGTGGACGTGGTCGTGGTCGTGGACGTGGACGTGGACGTGGTCGTGGTCGTGGACGTGGACGTGGACGTGGACGTGGTGGTGGACGTGGACGTGGACGTGGACGTGGACGTGGACGTGGACGTGGACGTGGACGTGGACGTGGACGTGGACGTGGTGGTGGACGTGCTGGACGTGGACGTGGTCGTGGACGTGGACGTGGACGTGGTGGACGTGGATGTGAACGTGGACGTGGACGTGGACGTGGACGTGGTCGTGGACGTGGACGTGAGCCTGGACGTGGACGTGGACGTGGTGGACGTGGACGTGGTCGTGGACGTGGACGTGGTCGTGGACGTGGTCGTGGACTTGGACGTAGACGTGGTCGTGGACGTGGACGTGGACGTGGACGTGGACGTGGTCGTGGACGTGGACGTGGACTTGGACATAGACATGGACGTGGACGTGGACGTGCACGTGCACCTGGACGTGGAGCTGGTCGTGGACGTGGACGTGGACGTGGACTTGGACGTGGACGTGGACGTGGACGTGGTCCTGGACGTGGACGTGGACGTGGACGTGGACGTGGTCGTGGACGTGGACGTGGACGTCGACGTGGACGTGTACGTGGACGTGGTCGTGGACGTGGACGTGGTCGTGGACGTGGAGGACTTGGACGTGTTGGTGGACGTGGACGTGGTCGTGGACGTGGTCGTGGACGTGGACGTGGACGTGGACGTGGACGTGGTCGTGGACGTGGACGTGGACGTGGTCGTGGACGTGCACTTGGACGTGGACGTGGACGTGGACGTGGACGTGGACGTGGACGTGGACGTGGTCGTGGACGTGGACGTGGACGTGGTCGTGGACGTGGTCGTGGACGTGGACATGGTCGTGGAGGACGTGGACGTGGACGTGGTCGTGGACATGGACGTGGACATGGACCTGGAATAGGACGTGGAGGACGTGGACGTGGACGTGGACGTGGTCGTGGACGTGGACGTGGACCTGAAATAGGACGTGGACGTGGTCGTGGACGTGGACGTGGACGTGGATGTTGTCGTGGACGTTGTCGTGGACGTGGACGTGGACGTGGACGTGGTCGTGGTCGTGGACGTGGACGTGGACGTGGTCGTGGTCGTGGACGTGGACGTGGACGTGGTGGTGGACGTGGACGTGGACGTGGACGTGGACGTGGACGTGGACGTGGTGGTGGACGTGCTGGACGTGGACGTGGTCGTGGACGTGGACGTGGACGTGGTGGACGTGGATGTGAACGTGGACGTGGACGTGGACGTGGACGTGGTCGTGGACGTGGACGTGAGCCTGGACGTGGACGTGGACGTGGTGGACGTGGACGTGGTCGTGGACGTGGACGTGGTCGTGGACGTGGTCGTGGACGTGGACGTGGTCGTGGACGTGGACGTGGACGTGGACCTGGACGTGGACGTGGACCTGGACGTGGACGTGGGCGTGGACGTGGACGTGGACGTGGGCGTCGACGTGGACGTGGACGTGGGCGTGGGCGTGGGCGTGGGCGTGGACGTGGTCGTGGACGTGGACGTGGACGTGGTCGTGGTCGTGGACGTGGACGTGGGCGTGGACGGTGGGCGTGGGCGTGGACGTAAGCGTGGGCGTGGGCGTGGGCGTGGACGTGGGCGTGGACGTGGACGTGGGCGTGGACGTGGACGTGGTCGTGGACGTGGACGTGGTCGTGGACGTGGACGTGGACGCGGTCCGGTCGTGGACGCGGTCGTGGACGCGGACATGGTCGTGGACGTGGACGTGGACGTGGACGTGGTGGACGCGGTCGTGGACGTGGACGGGAACGTGGTCGTGGACGTGGACGTGGACGTGGTGGACGCGGACGTGGACGTGGTGGACGCGGTCGTGGGCGTGGACGCGGACGTGGTCGTGGACGTGGACGTGGACGTGGTGGACGCGGTCGTGGACGTGGACGCGGACGTGGTCGTGGACGTGGACGTGGTGGACGCGGTCGTGGACGTGGATGCGGACGTGGTCGTGGACGTGGACGTGGACGTGGACGTGGTGGACGTGGACGTGGATGTGGACGTGGTGGACGTGGACGTGGACGTGGTCATGGACGGCGACGTCGACGTCAACGTGGACGTGGACGTGGACGTGGACGTGGTCGTGGAGGACTTGGACGTGGTCGTGGACGTGGATGTGGACGTGGTCGTGGACGTGGACGTTGTCGTGGACGTGGACGTGGACGTGGAGATGGACGACTTGGACGTGGTCGTGGACGCGGACGTGGACGTGGACGTGGTCGTGGTTGTGGACGTGGACGCGGACGTGGTCGTGGACGTGGACGTGGACATGGAAGTGGACGTGGACGTAGACGAGGACGTGGACGTGGAAGTGGACGTGGACGTAGACGAGGACGTGGACGTGGAAGTGGACGTGGACGATGACGAGGACATGGACGTGGACGTGGACATGGACGATGACGTGGAGGTGGACGTGGTCGTGGACGTGGTGGACGTGGACGTGGACGTGGACGTGAACGTCGACGTGAACGTGGTGGTGGACGTGGAGGACGTGGACGTGTACGTGGACGTGGACGTGGACGTGGACGTGGTCGTGGACGTGGAGGACGTGGACGTGGACGTGGACGTGGACGTGGAGGTGGTCGTGGACGTGGTTGAGGACGTGGACGTGGATGTGGTCGTGGACGTGGACGTGGACGTGGACGTGGACGTGGTCGTGGACGTGGACGTGGACTTGGACGTGGACGTGGACTTGGACGTAGACGTGGTCGTGGAAGTGGACGTGGACGTGGACGTGGACGTGGTCGTGGACGTGGACGTGGACTTGGACGTAGACGTGGTCGTGGACGTGGACGTGGACGTGGACGTGGACGTGGTCGTGGACGTGGACGTGGACTTGGACGTAGACATGGACGTGGACGTGCACGTGCACCTGGACGTGGAGCTGGTCGTGGACGTGGACGTGGACGTGGACTTGGACGTGGACGTGGACGTGGACGTGGTCCTGGACGTGGACGTGGACGTGGACGTGGACGTGGTCGTGGACGTGGACGTGGACGTCGACGTGGACGTGTACGTGGACGTGGTCGTGGACGTGGACGTGGTCGTGGACGTGGAGGACTTGGACGTGTTGGTGGACGTGGACGTGGTCGTGGACGTGGTCGTGGACGTGGACGTGGACGTGGACGTGGACGTGGACGTGGTCGTGGACGTGGACGTGGACGTGGTCGTGGACGTGCACTTGGACGTGGACGTGGACGTGGACGTGGACGTGGACGTGGACGTGGACGTGGTCGTGGACGTGGACGTGGTCGTGGACGTGGACGTGGTCGTGGACGTGGACATGGTCGTGGAGGACGTGGACGTGGACGTGGACGTGGTCGTGGACATGGACGTGGACATGGACCTGGAATAGGACGTGGAGGACGTGGACGTGGACGTGGACGTGGTCGTGGACGTGGACGTGGACGTGGACCTGGAATAGGACGTGGACGTGGTCGTGGACGTGGACGTGGACGTGGACGTTGTCGTGGACGTTGTCGTGGACGTGGACGTGGACGTGGACGTGGACGTGGTCGTGGTCGTGGACGTGGACGTGGACGTGGTCGTGGTCGTGGACGTGGACGTGGACGTGGACGTGGTGGTGGACGTGGACGTGGACGTGGACGTGGACGTGGACGTGGACGTGGACGTGGACGTGGTGGTGGACGTGCTGGACGTGGACGTGGTCGTGGACGTGGACGTGGACGTGGTGGACGTGGATGTGAACGTGGACGTGGACGTCGACGTGGACGTGGTCGTGGACGTGGACGTGAGCCTGGACGTGGACGTGGACGTGGTGGACGTGGACGTGGTCGTGGACGTGGACGTGGTCGTGGACGTGGTCGTGGACGTGGACGTGGTCGTGGACGTGGACGTGGACGTGGACCTGGACGTGGACGTGGACCTGGACGTGGACCTGGGCGTGGACGTGGACGTGGACGTGGGCGTCGACGTGGACGTGGACGTGGGCGTGGGCGTGGGCGTGGACGTGGTCGTGGACGTGGACGTGGACGTGGTCGTGGTCGTGGACGTGGACGTGGGCGTGGACGGTGGGCGTGGGCGTGGACGTGGGCGTGGGCGTGGGCGTGGGCGTGGACGTGGGCGTGGACGTGGACGTGGTCGTGGACATGGACGTGGTCGTGGACGTGGACGTGGACGCGGTCCGGTCGTGGACGCGGTCGTCGACGCGGACATGGTCGTGGACGTGGACGTGGACGTGGACGTGGTAGACGCGGTCGTGGACGTGGACGGGAACGTCGTCGTGGACGTGGACGTGGACGTGGTGGACGCGGACGTGGACGTGGTGGACGCGGTCGTGGGCGTGGACGCGGACGCGGTCGTGGACGTGGACGTGGACGTGGTGGACGCGGTCGTGGACGTGGACGCGGACGCGGTCGTGGACGTGGACGCGGACGTGGTCGTGGACGTGGACGTGGTGGACGCGGTCGTGGACGTGGATGCGGACGTGGTCGTGGACGTGGACGTGGACGTGGACGTGGACGTGGTGGACGTGGACGTGGATGTGGACGTGGTGGACGTGGACGTGGACGTGGTCATGGACGTCGACGTCGACGTCAACGTGGACGTGGACGTGGACGTGGACGTGGTCGTGGAGGACTTGGACGTGGTCGTGGACGTGGATGTGGACGTGGTCGTGGACGTGGACGTTGTCGTGGACGTGGACGTGGACGTGGAGATGGACGACTTGGACGTGGTCGTGGACGCGGACGTGGACGTGGACGTGGTCGTGGTTGTGGACGTGGACGCGGACGTGGTCGTGGACGTGGACGTGGACATGGAAGTGGACGTGGACGTAGACGAGGACGTGGACGTGGAAGTGGACGTGGACGTAGACGAGGACGTGGACGTGGAAGTGGACGTGGACGATGACGAGGACATGGACGTGGATGTGGACATGGACGATGACGTGGAGGTGGACGTGGTCGTGGACGTGGTGGACGTGGACGTGGACGTGGACGTGAACGTCGACGTGAACGTGGTGGTGGACGTGGAGGACGTGGACGTGTACGTGGACGTGGACGTGGACGTGGACGTGGTCGTGGACGTGGAGGACGTGGACGTGGACGTGGACGTGGACGTGGAGGTGGTCGTGGACGTGGTTGAGGACGTGGACGTGGATGTGGTCGTGGACGTGGACGTGGACGTGGACGTGGCCGTGGTCGTGGATGTGGTCGTGGACGTGGAGGACTTGGATGTGGTCGTGGACGTGGACGTGGTCGTGGACGTGGACGTGGGCGTGGACGTGGACGAGAACGTGGTCGTGGACGTGGACGTGGACGTGGACGTGGTCGTGGACGGGGACGTGGACGTGGAGGTGGACGTGGTCGTGGACGTGGTGGACGCGGACGTGGACGTGGACATGGACGATGACGTGGAGGTGGACGTGGTCGTGGACGTGGTGGACGTGGACGTGGACGTGGACGTGAACGTCGACGTGAACGTGGTGGTGGACGTGGAGGACGTGGACGTGTACGTGGACATGGTCGTGGACGTGGAGGACGTGGACGTGGACGTGGACGTGGACGTGGACGTGGTCGTGGACGTGGTCGTGGACGTGGACGTGGACGTGGACGTGGTCGTGGTCGTGGACGTGGACGTGGACGTGGACGTGGTCGTGGACGTGGTCGTGGACGTGGACGTGGACGTGGACGTGGACGTGGTCGTGGACGTGGACGTGGAGGACGTGGACGTGGTCGTGGACGTGGTCGTGGACGTGGACGTGGACGTGGACGTGGAGGACGTGGACGTGGAGGACGTGGACGTGGTCGTGGACGTGCACGTGGTCGTGGACGTGCACGTGGACGTGGACGTGGACGTGGTCGTGGACGTGGACGTGGACGTGGACGTGGTCGTGGACGTGGACGTGGACGTGGACGTGGACGTGGACGTGGTCGTGGACGTGGACGTGGACTTGGACGTAGACATGGACGTGGACGTGGACGTGCACGTGCACCTGGACGTGGAGCTGGTCGTGGACGTGGACGTGGACGTGGACTTGGACGTGGACGTGGACGTGGACGTGGTCCTGGACGTGGACGTGGACGTGGACGTGGTCGTGGACGTGGACGTCGACGTGGACGTGTACGTGGACGTGGTCGTGGACGTGGACGTGGTCGTGGACGTGGAGGACTTGGACGTGTTGGTGGACGTGGACGTGGTCGTGGACGTGGTCGTGGACGTGGACGTGGACGTGGTCGTGGACGTGGACGTGGACGTGGTCGTGGACGTGGACGTGGACGTGGTCGTGGACGTGCACTTGGACGTGGACGTGGACGTGGACATGGACGTGGACGTGGACTTGGACGTGGACGTGGACGTGGACGTGGTCGTGGACGTGGACGTGGACGTGGTCGTGGACGTGGTCGTGGACGTGGACATGGTCGTGGAGGACGTGGACGTGGACGTGGACGTGGTCGTGGACATGGACGTGGACATGGACCTGGAATAGGACGTGGAGGACGTGGACGTGGACGTGGTCGTGGACGTGGACGTGGACGTGGACCTGGAATAGGACGTGGACGTGGTCGTGGACGTGGACGTGGACGTGGACGTTGTCGTGGACGTTGTCGTGGACGTGGACGTGGACGTGGACGTGGACGTGGACGTGGACGTGGACGTGGTCGTGGTCGTGGACGTGGACGTGGACGTGGTCGTGGTCGTGGACGTGGACGTGGACGTGGACGTGGTGGTGGATGTGGACGTGGACGTGGACGTGGACGTGGACGTGGACGTGGACGTGGACGTGGTGGTGGACGTGCTGGACGTGGACGTGGTCGTGGACGTGGACGTGGACGTGGTGGACGTGGATGTGAACGTGGACGTGGACGTGGACGTGGACGTGGTCGTGGACGTGGACGTGAGCCTGGACGTGGACGTGGAGACGTGGTCGTGGACGTGGACGTGGACATGAGCCTGGACGTGGACGTGGAGGTGAACCTGGACGTGGACGTGAACGTGGACGTGGACGTGGACGTGGACGTTGACGTGGACGTGGACGTTGACGTGGACGTGGACCTGGACGTGGACGTGGGCGTGGACCTGGACGTGGACGTGAACATGGGCGTGGACGTGGGCGTGGACGTGGACGAGGACGTGGACGTGGGCGTGGACGTGGGCGTGGACGTGGACGTGGTCGTGGACGTGGACGCGGACGTGGACGTGGACGTGGTCATGGACGTGGACTTGGTCGGGGATGTTGGATGCACGTCATTCTTAGTGCATGTCATCCTAACGTCCTGCCGAGTGCTCGTGCTATTTGTGCTTGCATGATTTGCATGAGCGTATGTCATTGTGCATGGCTGTTGGATATTATCATCTCTGTGTTTTTCTCCAAGTCTTAAATGCTTGATCATGCACGAGAAATCCAAAGCTTTCCAACGACACCGAGATCGCCTTATTCCAACCAAGATCGCCCAAGTTACAAGATTTCCTAGACCATCTTTTAGGGTTATATCTAATTTGGGTGATTACTTGGACATGACTATAAATGGATCTTTGGTTGGGTGGTTAGGAAGGCAACTTTGACTTGGACGTGGACGTGGACGAGGACGTGGTCGTGGACGTGGACGTGGTCGTGGACGTGGATGTGGTCGTGGTCGTGGACGTGGACGTGGACGTGGTCGTGGACGTGGACGTGGTCGTGGTCGTGGACGTGGACGTGGACGTGGACGTGGACGTGGTCGTGGATGTGGACGTGGACAGGGACGTGGACGTGGACGTGGACGTGGTCATGGTTATGGACGTGGACGTGGACGTGGACGTGGACGTGGTGGACGTGGACGTGGTCGTGGACGTGGACATGGTGGACGTGGACGTGGACGTGGACGTGGTCGTGGACGTGGACGTGGTGGACGTTGACGTGGACGTGGACGTGGACGTGGTCGTGGACGTGGACGTGGTCGTGGACGTGGACGTGAACCTGGACATGGACGTGGACGTGGACGTGGACGTGGACGTAAACGTGGACGTGGGCGAAGACGTGGACGTGGACGTGGTCGTGGACGTGGACGTAGACGTGGACGTGGACGTAGACGCGGACGTGGTCGTGGACGTGGACGTGTACATGGACGTGAACGTGGACGTGGACGTGGACGTGGAAGTGGACGTGGACGTGGACGTGGACGTGTACATGGACGTGAACGTGGACGTGGACGTGGACGTGGAAGTGGACGTGGACGTGGACGTGGACGTGGACGTGTACATGGACGTGAACGTGGACGTGGACGTGGACGTGGAAGTGGACGTGGATGTGGACGTGGACGTGGACGTGGACGTGAACGTGGTCGTGGACGTGGACGTGGTCGTGGTCGTGGACGTGGTCGTGGACGTGGACGTGGACGTGGACGTGGTCGTGGACGTGGACGTGGACGTGGTCGTGGACGTGGACGTGGACGTGGACGTGGACGTGGACGTGGTCGTGGACGTGGACGTGGACGTGGTCGTGGACGTGGACGTGGACGTGGTCTTGGAGGTGGACGTGGACGTGGACGCGGTCGTGGACGTGGACGTGGACTTGGTGGACGTGGACGTGGACGTGGACGTGGTCGTGGATGTGGACGTGGACAGGGACGTGGACGTGGACGTGGTCATGGTCATGGACGTGGACGTGGACGTGGTCGTGGACGTGGACGTGGTCCTGGACGTGGACGTGGACGTGGTGGACGCGGACGTGGTCGTGGACGTGGACGTGGTGGACGTGGACGTGGACGTGGACGTGGTCGTGGACGTGGACGTGGTGGACGTTGACGTGGACGTGGACGTGGTGGTGGACGTGGACGTGGACGTGGACGTGGTCGTGGACGTGGACGTGGTGGACGTTGACGTGGACGTGGACGTGGTCGTGGACGTGGAAGTGGTCGTGGACGTGGACGTGAACCTGGACATGGACGTGGACGTGGACGTGGACGTGGACGTAAACGTGGACGTGGGCGAAGACGTGGACGTGGACATGGACGTGGACGTGGACGTGGTCGTGGGCGTTGACGTGTACGTGGACGTGGACGTGGACGTGGACGCGGACATGGTCGTGGGCGTGGGCGTGGACGTGTACGTGGACGTGGACGTGTACGTGGACGTGAACATGGACGTGGACGTGGACGTGGACGTGGACGTGGACGTGGACGTGGACGTGGTCGTGGACGTGGACGTGGACGTGGACGTGGACGTGGACGTGGACGTGAACGTGGTCGTGGACGTGGACGTGGTCGTGGACGTGGTCGTGGACGTGGACGTGGACGTGGACGTGGACGTGGTCGTGGACGTGGACGTGGACGTGGACGTGGTCGTAAACGTGGACGTGGACGTGGTCGTGGACGTGGACGTGGACGTGGACGTGGTCGTGGACGTGGACGTGGACGTGGTCGTGGACGTGGACGTGGACGTGGTCTTGGAGGTGGACGTGGACGTGGTCTTGGAGGTGGACGTGGACGTGGACGCGGTCGTGGACGTGGACGTGGACGTTGTGGACGTGGACGTGGTGGACGTGGACGTGGACGTGGTCGTGGACGTGGTCGTGGACGTGGACGTGGACGTGTTACGCTTGCAAAATGTATCAGTCTTATTCGAGTTCCCTTTTCCTAATGCCTCTCTCCTGTTTTCACCCGTTGTTGCGAACTTTTGAAAGTCAGCACATATCACCACGCCTTAACCCCTCGTGATCCCCTGCACCCCCATCACCCAACGCCTATCTGTATCCCTACCCCTAACCCCACCAATGCCCTTTCCATTGCCTAACTCTTTCGCGTCTTTTCCCTTGTCCCAGACAAAGCCCATTCCACATCTCCATTTCCTTCCGTTGCCTCCCCTCCCCCCCTCCCTCGTCCCCCCTCTCTTCACTGTTCCGACCCGTTTTCTGCCTCTGGCCGTTTTCTTTCGGTGAAGGGCATGTCGTCGGCAGCCGTGGGGCTGGGCTGACTGCTGGTTTGGCAGCAGCAACGATCATGCGACGCATGGAAGTGGAACAGTGCATGGTTGAAAGGGATTCGGCTGCGCTGGATGGACAGACAGCATTGATGCATGCAGCAGGAATTTTCAAGTGTGAGTTCATGGCAGCAGTGTTGGGGCTGGAGTCGCTGAAGCGCTCAGAATGTTGCACTTGGGATTTGGTGAGTCCAATCCAATGCAGTAGCCAGCCCTGTTGGATTCATTGTGCAAAGATTTCAGCGTTAGGGTTAGCCGCGGACACTCTACACGCTCTTTGTTTACTGTACCAGTATTTTGATTTGCAAGGTCAAAGCATGCTGCCAGGTCATGCCGACATGAATAGGACAGATGTATCGGCAGTCAGAGTAGTGAGGTGTGGTTTGGTCAAGCAAAATCACATGCGTACGGGCGCTGGGCTCATCAGGGCTGGCTCGTGAGTGTGGGGACATCGAATCTAGCGGTGCGTGTGGCGTGGCACTCTAGGGTTCTGGTACATATTCGAATCCGCTTGCGTCGCCGCCGGTGCCTCCCACATATTCGCCGTCTGCGCCGACGCCGGCTCCCGCGCCAGGGGGTCCTCGCCCGGCTCGGCGCACGTCGGCTGGTTGTCGTCAATTCCGACGAACTCGGAAGCAGGCAGCGCGGACGGCCCGAGGCCGAGTCGATCGATTAAAACGCCTACGTCGTTCAGCTCCTCGTCCAGGCCAATGTCACCCCCAGCCTGGACTTGTGAGTCGCCGCTTTGTTCCACGTGCGGGAGTTCCATCGCCCACGCCCGCGGTAGGCACTCGGTGCGCCACCAGCAGCGCTGGATAGTGACGTGCGGGATATTCATCCACGCGTCATGGAGCCATTCCAGCACGCGACGGAGGTTCGGCTTGAACCTTGCCGCCGCGGAAGTCGCGCCATCAGCAGTCCACATGCCGGTGAAGGCGCGGAGCCAGTGTTGGCGGTACCGCGCCTTCGTCATGGCGATCATCCCCTGGTCGAGTGGCTGCGTGAAGCAGGTGGTGTTCGGCGGCAGGTAGACGAGGCGCACGTTACTGAGCTTTCGCGTGCGGAACCCGAATAGATCCTCGGTGTCGGCGCCCTCGGTTGTCAGTGTGTGACTGCTCGCGTTGTCGAGCAGCACGACGACTTGGCGGCCCTCTGCGTACATAGCGGTGTCGAGCTGCTCAAAAAAGTGCGTGAAGAGCTGTAACACAAAGAGGTGTAGGGAAAGTTGGGGTAGGTTAGGCGGCTTTGTCATGATCAAAAACATAGCCGACATCGGGTATATGTTATAACGAGGCGTTGTAGAAGCACAGGCGGTAACAAGTTTGTTTGTCAAAATTTTGTTATGGGGGTTTTTCATGATCACAAAAATAGGCAACATCGGGTACGATACTAACGAGGCGTTTAAAAATTGTAAAAACGGACTCACGGCTTTGGTCATCCACCCCTTAGCGGTGTTGCGCCAGTAGCAATACTCCTCGGGGTCGAAATCCGGCCTGAAATCGTGTGGCCGCTTAGCCTTGGAGATGACAAGCGGACGGAATGCGTGCGTCCCGTCCGCATTAACCAAGAAGCCGACGGTCAGGCGGTCCTTCGAAACCTTCCGCCCGGCCGACCTGCCCGTGCCGTACGTTTTGCGAGGAGGCACGCTGATATACAGCGCAGTCTCGTCGAAGTTGAAAGTATCACGCGGGCGCACGCCGAGATGCATGAGAAGCTGAGGAAGCTTCTCCTTAGTGGTGCACACTGCGTTGAGATCCTGGTCGGCCGCCTCGCCGACCGCGCTCATGCACCGTACTCCCTGGCGGCGCAGCGCACGGCGGACCCAGCCGATGGAGCAACGGAAAGTCGGCGGAACGCCGTTCGCACGCGCCATCGTCGCAACATGGTCGCGAATAGTGGCGAGGGTCAGAGGGACGCCAGCGGGGCCTGCATTCGAAATCCATCGTGCCATCGAGCGCTCCAGTTCGGGGTATGCCCCGCCGCGGACGCGAATGGCGTCCACGGCGTCATCAGGAACGTCCCACCGGTCGGCGCCTTTGAGAACGCGACCAATGGTCGAACGGTCGGGCCTCACACCAAAACGCGTGAAACACCATCGTGCGAGGTCCACGTGGCGCAGCAGAGGGTTTGCCTGATGATGGGCACAAATGGCCCGCTTGATGTGCAGCGCAAGCTGAGACCTATGGTAGAGACGAGGCATCTGGCGAGAATGTTAAGATAACTAAGCATGAATTGCAGTGCTGGTTGTCGAGTGGATTTATGCTGGTGCAATGGCGCTCGGATTAGTCACTATGTCTCGAGAGTGTGCGAGGTTTCGCAATTGCTGCGAGATGAACATGCATCTCTCGCAGTTTCAAGAGATTATGAGACTGGGTAACCACATCCACGAATAGTGACGTGTGTTGTTTGCGGACTGTGAGGCTCACAAGGGGCATGTACCGAGCATTGGCAATGTACACGTCGGAGTTACATCACAAACACGAACTGTTAGGCGCACCTGGTTGATGCACAGGTGGCATGACGTAACATCAATTTTGGGTGGCGACGTTTCACGAATTTTGTCCTTACATTTCGTAGCTTCTGTTTCTGACTTAAAAACAGGGATAGGCCAACCGTTTGACGTTTGTCTTTTGCTGTGTTGCCCAGTTTGGGAGTATTCACCTAGTAGATGCAAGTGGTCTCAGGTGCTTATACCATAGGTGCAACACCAGGGCAAAAAACCCACGGGTGTAAGGTTTCCGAAATGTGCAGGGCTTTTTCGCGTGCAGGGGGTGGGCATCATGTGTAAGCCAAGTTGACAGACCATCGCGTGCTGGGCGTGATCGGGAGTGTTGTGTACGGACTATTCAGATCCATTGCGCCCCTAGTCCGTTTGTGAAACCCGAACTCCACGCACGTGTCGCTTTCAAGGTCAGCTTGGGGGTCGTAGAACACAGTTTGTTCGAAACCGTTCCCCAAGGAGATGAAGGGAGCAAAGGGAGTGAGAGGGTGTTTCGAAGTTGGCTCTATGTTCGATTCCGCTGAAGTTCGCTGAATTGTTGATCGAACCTTCAAAAGGACTTCGCAACTGACGATCGTGAGTACCGCGACATGGAATGCCATAAAGGCCTGGCAGCATTAGCGGTCCATAAAAACGTCGAGAATTCCGCCAGCCACGGTCTGTCCCACTTGTCTCGATTCACGCCTCTCGCCGTTGAAGATGCTTCCTCCATGTCCATATCCTAGCATTATCGCTAGGGATGACTGCGGAACGGTGAGCTTGAAAGCGGGCCGTCAAAGCTTCATCGGAACCTATACCTGTGTGTCAAACAGCATGCCATCCAGTGGCTTGATGTTTGATAGGCATCGCTGGGGAATTTTTCGCGATGCCTTGGATTGGCGTGTTGCATTACACACTTACAGCGTGTTACTTGCAGGTTGATTTCGACACCCCATCCGGCATCATTCCCAACCCCTGGTTTCCCTCCAAAATCAAACTCGCCATTTCCTTGCAGCGCCCAAGTACTGTACACAGCCAATTGCGGAAAAAGGTTCCGTACATTTTTTTTCTCCGGTCAAGAGTTTCGGGTTGATGCAAAACATTTGTGAAGAAATCGAAGTGTGACTGTTCGCCATAGAGTGACTCGACATTCTTCGCGGGCGAGGCCGAACTACAGTAAAACATATTACCACATGTAACTGTTACAGTATGCTTTGTTTTGTCGAATCGGGAATCGTGATCGGATATAAATAAGAAAACTACTCTCGGTGCTACTGATTTCTGCATTCCATAATTGGTTCAAAAAAACTGAAAAATCATTGATTAACCGTGTAAGAATTTTAATGGATATAATATGTTAATGTACATACACGGCATGACATGACAAATTGGGTAATAGTGACGTTCAACCATGGGATTAAATACATTCCACAACTTAGCAGTAGTAACGACCAAGCATAAATCCTGCACAAAGAAAAAACAGCACTCCTGCACAATCCTGCACGGGATACGAAGCGTACATAAATCACGACCTGCAAACATACGATAAGAGAAAAGACGACCACCACAGGAGTTACTGCCAATTAACTCAGCTTGGCGTCGATTCAAAGCATCTGGGTCAGAGTCAGAAATCACGTTGTGACTAGCAACCACAAAAGGCGGCAACCATCAATGGTGCGGAAGCGCTCGTAATACACAACCTGCAAAAAAATACACGATTAGCAAAACTCGACTAACCACGGGATGAGACGCCAATGAGATGTCATTTTTTCCCTGTGAAGTAAAGGGAAGATACACAACGCAAGTCACGAGGGGACATTAAGTACAAGGAGAAGGCAGGAAACCGTGCAGCATTGCGCGACAATTAAATAAACATCACGGTAGTGCAAAGCCTTACCTAATAATCACGACTTCCAAATGACGGATGATTCCCTGCAACCAAGGTAGTAGCGAGTACGAGTGAGACGAAAAAAAGAGTCGAAGGTATGCACAAGGTGAGCGCGAAAAAAGAAATGTGCACTAGTCACTACGGCTGCTGCTGCGACTAGCGCTGGCGCTGGCCCTGGTGATGTCGGCAGAAACGAAGAGATCGGCGATGAAAATGAACTGCCCTCGATAGGGAGAGCTGAAGTCTGGGGTGCGAGAAACTGGGTAGTGGTGCTCCAGGGAGGCAGCGAGCAGAGCACTTCCCTGCTGGTGCGCCAGCGAAGCACCAACTTGTGAAGATTCTGGTTCATGCACCAGCAAAGCACCAATCAGAGCACTTCTCTGTGCAACACGGCAACGATTATGATTCGTCGCCTCGATGGCTCACCCGCCGCCACCTCTCATATCGCTAGAGAAGGATGTGCATCAGCTAGGGTGTCAAAAGCCTGAGCTTGGATTGGCTGCAAATGTATTTGCGGGGACAGCTGCCAAGTGTAACCTTGGTCAACAACAAGTAAAATTCAAGTCGCTAAAGGGAGATCGCGTAGAGATGT